GTCATTCGAGATGTACTCTCACATTGAGACATACTCATTCGGTACGCATCCGTTTGCACAGGAGAATATGCGATCTGGACACGGCCCGGTTTGCCTCGGAATTCACATCTGCCTTCTGGCCCACCAGCAGACGGGGCTGTGTGGCGTCGTGTTCACTTGCCTCCACTTAACATCCAGCGAGAGAATAGATTCCCGTCGGGTTCCTTTGGGAGGCAAGGCCAAGCGAAATTCACCTGAATCACACCTTCATAAGGATTGTGTCGAACTTATTTCTTTGAGGGGATGAAGAAATGATATGCTAAGATCTACTCGTCATTGTGTGCAAATTCTTATCCAAGATTTACTGGCCTACTTAAAAATGCGAAAACCACACCTTCATAACTGCACTTCATAACTGTTTACCTTCTCCCGGAAGTGTCGAAATCATATAATGTGAATCGAGTTCCTATTTATTACTATTTTCACTCATATTAAACTATCTTGGAACACACAAGTCTCAACCCTATTATTATTATTATTCAAGATGAACTGGTTGTTTCGTGAACCACTCAAAATGAACATGGTCCTCAATATTTCCCCCCAAATAATATGCTACTCGTGAGTAGTTTGATATTATAGGTTATCTTTGCAAGTTGACTGTCTAGTCGGCCATGAGAGCATTGTTTTATTGATCCTGCCCTGAGAGGATTAGGCGCAAACACTTTCTTACAACCGGCCCGTTTTTGCTTTGCTTGTCTGGCCTATTGCCACCAGTAACTTGTCGATAACTCTTGCATATTCCCCAAACCTGTACTAGTCGGCCTGTCATGAGGACGCGTTTTCCTCTCCACTCAGGTCAGTAAGGACGACCAATCAAACCGTTCCGAGTAGCTCTGGCTACCGCATTGACTTGGAGTCAACCGAGTCAACCAAGTCAACCGAGTCAACACACTCTCGGGAGTGGCTCCCACCTGAAGAGGCGACGGTTGTTCCGGCCGGCAGGGCTCTGAGCCAGTGCATGTTTGCCGATGGGCCCTGCCACTCTGCAGCTTGACACTCCTCAAATCGATGCCATGTAAGGCAGCGAATGCACTCATGTCAAGTTTGCGGGTGTGCATGCGTGTGCGTGTGCGTGTGCGTGTGCGTGTGTCCAAACAGGCAGCGTCCAAGTGAGCCACGGGACAGTGGGTCTGGCGACGGTCGGCACAAGTTTTGCGGATGAGGCCAGTTCGGCGCTGGCCGGCCGACCCATCACAGTTTTGGGTCATTTTGGTAGGTCGGTCGATTTCGCTTAACACCGCCTCCCGGTAGACCTTCAAGCCGACGCTCGCCTGGCCAGCCTCGGAGCGTCGGAGCGTCGGCACGGCCTCCGGCCAACGTCGAAGGCTCCACATTTGCCGTCTGTCTGGAAGGCAATCGGATGAATTCCAGTGCCAGGCGGACTTTCGTGCGGCGGAACGGCGAGGCTGATGTAGAGCACAGGACGCGTGACGATGACGCCCGTTTGCTCGCCCCGTCACGGTCAAATGGAGCCAGACTTTGTTCGGTTCTGGAGAACGCGGATGGCGTTTCCATCCGTCAGAACTGGGTCGCACTCTTTCCATCTCGAAGTTCGTAATCACACCGTCCCTCGAAATGCATATGGCTTCAACAAC